GTTCCTCGAAATGGGGGTTGAAATATATTATGTTATCAAAAATCTCTAAACCTTCCCCATATAGTTTTATTCGTTGAAGTTTTTAAAAAATAACAGCGACTATAGTTTCGGCGTACTGCCATCATCAGGCGACTAGAAGTGTATCACAATATAGCAAATTTGAAAACATTAAGAGCTAGTACTTACTGTGAAAGTTAACAGGAAAACGGTAAATTACAAACGTTGAAGACGGATAAGACGAACATGTTGTTTTTTTAATTATAAACTGGCCGAAGCCAAGTGAAAAACCTGAAGGGTGGTTAAAACGGAAAGGTTGTCCTAAGTTTCAAGACGTTATTTTTAAAAACTTCAACGAATAAAACTATATGGGGAAGGTTTAGAGATTTTTGATAACATAACATAATTATAATTTTCATATAAAACCTAATGATTTTTCATTAAATTGACTGATAATAATTGAAAATTAGACATCTACAACAATTAAATCATAACTATTCAGAAAATTCAACTGTAAATAAAGGTTAAATACTTTGCACAAATGATTTGTTCAAATTTGGGACGTGTCGGGGAATTATGGACTAAAATTTTATATATTTGTCTCTTGCCTCACCGTTCAATTATTTCATAATTATACCCTTATTAATTATACCTCATTATACCGTTTGGCGTTTTTAACTATGGACTTCATCAGGGTGAAACCGTTTTTGTGTCAATGTATTTAAGAGACGATATGTAGGTAATTTCATCAAAGAATGATGTGAATGATGTGTAATCCGTTTCATCTTGAATGATCTCTCAGGACTACCAAGGGAATATATAATATTGCAAGTAGTAAATTAAAATTTTAATATTACTAATCTCTTATTTTATGTTTGTGCTTTCATGATCTTTTGGCAACACGTGAGTTAGATAGACTGATAGACTATGATTGTGGTCTGTAATAGTGGCATATTTATATATGCATTGTTTCAGGTTGTAACCTTATGGTATCGTTCTCCAGAAGTGCTTCTGGGACAATCATATGCAACTCCAGTGGATATTTGGTCTGTCGGATGTATAATGGCGGAATTATTTATGTTAAAGCCATTGTTTTGCGGTACATCTGAAGGAGACCAGCTTAGTAAGATATTCCAGTAAGATATTTGTGCCGTTTTTCCCTTTCAACTAATAACACTTAATTTTAGAATACTAGGTAAACCTCATGAGAATGAGTGGCCGGCAACTAACGTTTTTATTAACTATAATAGCTTTGAAGTAAAAAATAAGATAGAAATTAGAACTCTGATACCAAATATATGTGATAATGCGTTTGATCTTATTATGGTAGATATAGTAAAGGCAGCGTCGCCGGGTTGTTATGTTTAAAGTTTTGTTTTTAGCGGATGTTGACCTTCAATCCTTACAAAAGGATGTGTGCCTTGGAAGCGTTAAATCATGAATACTTCATGGAAGAACCTTTGGAATTGTAAGAAAGGCAAAATCGTTTACTTAAGCATCTACTACCTGTAAATTAGAAATACTGTGCCTTGAATTATTTATTTTTTAATATTCTTTTAGAATAAGTGAAAATTAAATATTTTTAAGAAATTTTCATTTTTAGTAAAGGAGTTTTTGTGCAGGGTGTATTTTTTGTTCGTAGAGAGGTATAATCCTATGGAAGCTAGTTTGTGATATTCCTAACACTGTTCTGTTCTTTTCGCCCTATTGGTGCTCATTGCAGAGAACTAAAATCCATGTAACGACAATGCCCTGAAGTTGAAAATTACTGTTCTGTACATAGACGTACAAGAGAACCTATACAATTAGCCATTTTATTTTAAATACAGTTAACTATTAAACTAGGGAAATCCGCTTTTCCTTAAAGTTATTTGAGGCATTTACTAAATGCATAACATTAAACAGGATAAATCAAAAATGCCAAGTCAAATAGCAAAATGGAGTTTATTTTGAAGTATTTTACCATTTGCAATGGCATATATAACTTATATGTTTGGTTTATACCCACAATATATAAATCAGAAAACGCGGTCGTAGAATGTAAGCGATCTACTGCTTCACGTAGATATGATCCAAAGTGGTATCTTGAAATAATACTGTGTTGGGGTCATAGACATGAGTAATTCATATGTCTATGGTTGGGGTCAGTTGCGCTCGCTGCTTTTGACTGTGGTTGTCCTCCCTTTACCTCATTCAAGCCATTGCACACTTGAACAAACTTGCAGATGCTTTCAATGGAGGAGGTTTTAGTCTGCCATGTGTGGCTAGGATTATTTTCATTCCTTTTTATTTTGACAGGAGTTTGAAGTTTGAACCCCTCATAACTCCACCTACTTGGTCTTGATTTAGTCTGTTTCAAATGAAGTCGCCTTTTTTAGTTGTAGCGTCATCAATGCCAAAGCCTTCAGCAGCCTCACCAATTGCATCGAACGTGGTGTTAAACGCTGTACCCTTGATATCTAAAACGTTCCCATAGTCCTGTAAATTTAAACATGAAAAGGGGGTCGCGCTTGCAAAAGGTCCGGTCGTTCTGAATTTTTTATATCTTGTTAGGACCTAAACCAACAATGAAAAACCAGATTCGCAATTTCCAAAGTACTGTGCGATCGGCGGTATATCCAAAAAACCATAAAATTTTCGGATTTCTTTCAGTTTTTACCAGGGTTCTGTCTATATCTCGGTGAAGGAAGGGTCAGTATATTCATTCTATAATCTTTTAAAGTAGACTAAATTTGCTACAATTTGAGACTAGAGCGAGGTCTATACAGCCAGTGGTTCCCAAGTTACAGTTCTTCGAAAAAAGGAATTTTTTTAAGATCAAGAGTGCATTTTCCAACGAAGTTGAGTGCGTTATTGCAGCCACTTTGTGTGTCCGTCCGTCTGTCCGAGGCCTTAACTATTCCTACAGTTTTCAAGATCTTAAGTTCGTTCTTTTTGCATTCGGTAGCGTATAGCTCTAGCACCTGAGCCAATCTTGACAATTAAACTACGCATGCGCAGACTGCGCAATGTCAATTTCCTTATTTATTAATATATTTTGTTAAAATGTTACAATGACTATACCGATCAGACCCTTCCTTCACCGAGATATTGAGTAAAAACTGAGAAAAGTCCTTGCGAATCTGGTTTTTTATTTTTGGTTTAGGTACTAACAACATATTAAAAATTCAGAATGACCGGATCTTTTGCAAGCACGGATGTACATCTTGATTGGACTACCAGGGCTCTGATGTTATTCTTTAAAAAAACATCCAATCACATGCCTTAACTATGCTTTGTTATACCGCCCGTCAGTGCCTCTTTTTCAAAAGAATCTTACAAAGTTTTTGAACTTCTGACCCTCCAATGTTACCACAGAAGATAATCGTCGTTTAGACCTTCGAATTAGGTCCTTATAAGTACCTGCGCTGAGCGATTTTGAGATCTTCCCAGTCCGCAGGCAGCTTAGTTCCCATGACCCTATTAAAGAGCCTGCGAACCTCCTTACGAACCATTTGGAGGTCCGAGTTCCACCAAGGTGTTCTTTTCGTGCCTCGAAAGTTTACAGCTGTCCGCACATGTTGGTGTTATGGCGTAGCTTATTACTAATGCGACCGCCTCTTCAATCTGCCCTGCTTTCTGACAATATCGCCACATTACACTTAGCAGTCCCTGTCAGTGGATCCGAGATTCCGAACCCTACAGGGTCCGCGGTGGAATGCCATGACGGTTCATCAGACATCCTCCAACTTGTGATCATGTGAGTTATCGAAAAGGAACCCAATGTCAGATCGATAAGCTCCCGCCTTCGCGCTGTGGCAGTTGTTTGCAAATAAGTACCTACTCCAGAAATGGTCGCCCCTTGAGTTCGTGTTCGTACTGCCCCACGCAACCACAGATCCAAGTGTTTAGATCTGTGACGCAACGTGGTGTGGGTTTTGCATCACAGACAATCACCAGAGGGCGCCCAAAATTTCGACAGTACTTTATTAACTCAGCCAGCTCTCTGGTAGGTGGGGCCTCTTCCGAGTCATACCTACGGGAGCAGACCATCAAATGCCTGCTCCGTCCCCTGCCATCTTTCAGCTGAAGTCTTTGAGCTACGAGATCCCTGAAACAGATATCAGCCGTTAAATATAAGACTCGATTCGTCTATCGACATAAATGAAAGTCAGTTGACTGTCCCTCTTATAATAAGGAGAGTCCTCCATCCGGCGCAGACCTCTTACGCGTCCCCTATAAACCCAAGGATCTTGTATCAGGCGGGCGATGACGGCCTATTTAACAGGTCACCCTTACTGTGCTGCAAATTGCTTTGTAAGAGGTTTACCTCGTCATCATACTGCTGTATTAGGTTCCCTCCTCCCCTAGTGATACAGACGGTTGCGACTCCTGGTCGGAGCCAAGAACCGCCACGTATGCCAAAAGCTCGTCGACATCTTTCTCGGCCTCTGAGGGCGCCGACACTAATCCCGACGCCGATAACGATGGAGATTGAGTCCCCTCGAAACTGGGTCCCGATGGAGCGCTCTCCCTTACGTGGCTCAGCCGGAGTATTCGCTTTCGTCACAAATGTGACGTGCGAGCCCTCCGCATGTGTTTGAAAGTTCTGCTGCCGGAGTGCCCTATAAGATGGCCCATCGACACCTAACGCGAGGAGGATCCTAAGAGGCTCCTCCCTGCGAAAGAACGCCCTCCATAGACTCGCCCTGAAAGGATTTTCGCTCTGGATGCGCTTCAAGTTTGTGGCCGTGTCACAACCATAACCTTTAATTGGTTACCCTAGGGACGTGCCTCTGCACTTTCAGAGACACGCCGCATCATCCCAGGGCGTAATAAAAGCGACGGTCCTCTCTAAGTAGGCCATGGTCCACTGGTCTTCGCATTCGGTCACAATGGCACCCTGCCGATTCCAGCGAAACCCTGCCAGCCGATGAAAGGCACCCCCCTCCCCTCTCCGTTTCGTCAACAACTTCATTCAGTGCAGCCATAATGGACCTCGACCGTGTGTGACACCGGAACAATTACTACCTCGAGCACCGCCGAAGCGACTTGCCCATAGGCTCGTGGTGCATCAAGTATATTTATTTATTATCCCTCTCTTGTTTGATAACAAAATTTTGTTGCCGACGTGAACCATTTTTGTATCAATTTGGGCTACTTGGATTGTCTCTAGCGCACACGTTTTACATTTGGCGACTGGCTATCAAGTTTGGCCACCCAAAAAAAATATTTAGGGACACATGGCTACTCATAAATCATAATCGAGATTAAGATTCTATTGTAAGCAAGCAATGTAAGCAAAATTTATATTAGTGAACAGGACCAAAAGACAAGTTGAAAAGTAAAAAAATAAAAACTGTATTAAACCGTGATCGACAATGAGATTGGACCAAGAAATCGTTACATGTAAACAGTACGCACTCTTTCGATGTATTGAACGATAAATTGGACAACCAGATCGTTACGATTTAACGAAGCCAAGATCGTAGCGTCTAAACCGCGCTTTAGGTACGATTTCCCATGTAAACAAAAATTCCAAAGGCGACTCGACAGCAACTCATTTTTGATCGCATATCTGCAATATGCGACTATTTACGTAGTTAGCGTATGAGCCTACATTCTCACATCAGTTAGTTCTTTTTTCACCATCCAATGCGAATTCTTCCTTCTGTTTCGCAATCGATACCCGAGTCCCGACCCATCGCTTGTGGGGTTATTAGAAAAAAAAACGCTGGAAAAACTATTAACAGGCAAAACAAACATTAATAAAAAAATATTTATTTAAACACTAATCAGTCGTGTACACAAAAATCTAGCCTGAGAAATCATTTTGTTTGCTGCTGCTTCGTTTCCCGCTTAGTGACGCTGATGAATTGCTGTCGATATCAGAAGTCAGAAATTTATTAACTCTTTCATAATACTCCGCATTACTTTCATCGTTTGGTAAATTACCATTCGTTTTCTTCTGCAAGTGTTTCGGTATTTTAATATTTCCGCAATAATGACTGAGAATATCGGGCGGTACCACTTGTCCCTTCAAATTCCCTCGATGAATCGTGTTAACTTCTACCTTTCCTCCCATTTTTGGAATCACTATGTCGTCTGGGTAGTTATTCTTCATTCCGCTAAAGCTAACCTTGACTGAGAGAGTGGACCAAATTGCTTCCAAAGCTGATGCGATTAATATGTTTATGGTGATCATATCTTTAGTGTTGGGATGACGCACAACCTTTGAGTTGGTTATTATAATAAGAACTATAACTAAAACTAAACATATGAGTGACGTCGTAGTTGACACTACTGACATAAGGAAGAACCAACATATGTTGTGGTCCATGTACCATCTTTTCCATGCCAGCAGAGCCGTCAATCCGGCGCCAAGTGCGCCTATGCACATTAGGCAGGGTCCCAATGTTAATGAAGTCGACGGATCAATTCGCTCGCTATTATGAGTATTGTTAGTGAAGTTCTCATCTGTTTCATTGTGCGATCCTTCTGTATTCATTGTTGACGAGGTAATGGTAAGTGAAGCCATTAGTAGAGATACTAGTGCAAATGACAGATGAACCACTCCAAGGCCTAGGACAATGGATGCAGA